ACCCCAGTTCTGTATGAATAAATAAATCTTTAAAAAAAAATAAAATTCAATTACAAATCGACATTCAATTTGACCTGCTCGCTACTGTTTATTAACCTCTAATGATAACTGATAAAGAAATATGGACATAAATTTCTAGATTGGTCAAAAAAATTCAAGCAATTTGAGTGTGCCTTCCCAACAGTCTAGAGACTCTGTCTGTGTAGCAAATGGTTATGTATTGATAAAATAATCAAGAACACCATTAAAATACAACTTGGTAAACAGGCATCATCTATTTAATAAGTACAATATATACATAGAATTCTGTTAAAAGCTTCATTTTATACAGAAACATATTTACAAATAAACAGAGTAATCAAATTAAAGATCTGCATGATGCACACATACACATTTGCACATGAACTTTGGAAGATAAAATAATTTCATCATTGCAATCAAAATGGAGAGTCAGGCATTTTAAAAAAGAACTCCATTCTAGAAGAAAAATACATCTTCACTATAGTTACATTTTTCATTTATATTCCTGGTGATCGTTTCCATTTGGATACTTTTTCAATTAATTTCTCTTGTTCAACCTAGAAAAATTCCAGGTTTCTAATGCCACTAACTGGTGTTAAAAATTAATCCTAGGTCAAAAAAAAGGGCAGGGAGTAATTTTTGTGTAAAAAAAGTGAAAAACAGGCTGATGTGGTCAATATTCAGAAGGTAAATTAACCACACTGCACTGAACATAATTTATACAGATATTTTCACCAAGGTAGCATATATAACATAAATGGCTCCCAATTTCTTTTTTCTTCTACCAGTAAATCCTGGTCAAAATTTGTATGTAAAAGTCGCTAGAAAATATACTGCAGAACAATTTGTAGAACACCTAGCAACACGATTAGTCATCTTTGTGAATATTAACTAGGTCTTGATAATTTACTAAAATGGCAAAAATCAAATGTCACATTATGGTCTTTGGACTTTTTATTAAAAAATAATCAAACATTAAAAGGTGACAAAAATCAGGAAATGTGCAAAGCCAGCAGGCCTGGGCAAGGACTCATTCCCCAAGCTGCCCACCAGGTGAGCATCCCGGGTCATCCATTCGTTAGGTAACTGGCCTAAATACCTCTTCCCAGACCAGCTATAGGGAGTGGTGTCCAGAAGTCCAAATGGCCCACTGCCTCCTGGTATTGTCACAACACTACATGCTCCAGGAGGACAGGAACCCCCATCTGGTCTGTTTACCAACAGCACCATGACGTTGATGGTACATGGCACTCACAGGCTTTCAATGTATGTGTTCATTAGATGAATAAGTGGTATGCTGGTAGCCTGATAAAACTAAACTTCAAAAGAAATGGCTTTAAATATTATGAAAATAAAAAGGCTCAAAGAAAGTTCAAATTCATTTTTCTTCCCAAACCCATTTTCAATCCTTAAAACTTAATAGGCTAAGGCTAAAGTTTGAAGTGGTACGGGAAAGGGGAGTCACAGTTTGAGTACTCACTTAAAATTTAAAACCTACTGTGTACGTAAATAATACACATACACACAAATCACTTCTTGCTCAAGGAAACCAAAATATTGCTAACTGACCAATAGCCTTTGAAATGTACATGTAATAATGAGCATAAAAAAGCAAAATTTCCCTCAAATCTTAAGTTTATCCAGACCATATCCCTTTCCAGACATCCTGTTCTCCGCTTTATATATTCAAAGCTGTAAGAATAAAGACCCCCTTGATCCTTAAAACAGGAATTGTGAAATCAGTATAGAGATGTGACATGCATATTTTTATGCATCATTTTGCTTAGTCCCAATACATACACAAAAAGGATATAAAAGCAACAGAATAAAAAGAGAATAAAGCATTTTCCTCAAAGTTTTCCATAGTTTCTCACATTTATGGGGAACAAAGGTAACATTAACAAAAAGATGGCTTATCATAGCTCTCTTCTAAAACTGGTTCCACCATTAAACTACTCTGAGTGAGAATGTTTCATTGTTGTGTGTGTGTGTGTGTGTGTGTGTGTGTGTGTGTGTAATATGTTAGAAGGGTACAGATGTGGGGCACTATGGATCTGATCCCTATCTGGTCTCCATTAATATTTGTAAATCTCAGAGAACAAATATTGTAGTGTGTGAATCTATGTTACATAAGAAATCATACAAATTTAGTTATGTTGGCTACTCTAGTTTTTAGGAATATCCAAAGTATAGAAACAAATAGGAAATTAATTCAGATTTGATTGCACTTACCCTCTTACTCTATTTTGATAAATTATTATTGGTAAAAGAAAAATTATGGTAAGACTAATACTTTTTACAGCCATTTTAAAAATAAACATTTCTGAACTTTAATATTTGCACCCTGAAGTGAAAATAATATTTTAGGAAGACAACATATAACTCAGTAAACAGACCACACTGAATCTGAGTAATCTAATCCTTACTAAATGATCTTTTTAAACAATGTTAAATCAATTTAAAAAATGCTAAGTAACCCTTTGAAGGGATACTACCACTATGAGGCAGACTTTTATAGCCATACAATTTTGAAATCTTTTGGATCCATCACCCCAAAGTATGCTTCTCCTAAGAGGAGAAAAAAAAGATGTAATAATTCAAAACAATTTTTTGCTACAATGTCAGCATGTGGATAAAGGTATCCTATTATAAAAATGACATAAATACAAGGAAATGTGAGACATCACATAGAAATTATAAAAGGTAAGAAATTTTAAGAGATGAAAAGAAAGTGACAGAAATACTGATACTATGGCAATACTTAAGTACACATCTTAAATAAATATTGTAGAAATGCAAAATAATACATAGATTTGACTAAAATTCCTTTGGTTATGGAAATGTAATTACTTTGAGTTTTAAATAAATACACTGAAACACATCATATTTAGGGACATAAGACCACTCTACGCTAACAAGTAATTATGCCAACAGGCAAGAATGATGTCAGATGAAATGGTTAACAGCCATGCTGGATTTCCTTGGAGCTGATTCTTCACATACAGAATATTTATCTTTATATTTAATATCAAAGTCTTTCAAAGAACTCATTATTTATCTCTGTTTTAAATGACTAATTCCACATTTTAAAATATAATTAAGGTACCGAGGAATTTTCTAAATGAACATGTTATTTAAAATCATATTTATTTAACTGAAGATTAAAAAACTCAACTGGTTGAATCTGAAAAAATGCCCTCCCCCCACACAGAGGAGGAAAAGCGGGCAGTGGCATTCACGGCTCTCCCTGCTAGCCAGAGCTGGCTTTTCTGTTAATTCCCATTAAAACTAACTTAAAAGCTCTAAGTACTCTTTGGTATCCCTCAAACACAAACAAATGTTCTGGTGGAATCGCAAAACAAAAATTTTTATTACTTCAGATTTCTTCATATTGGAAAAATAGTATGTTACTGAATAATTAACACTTCATGCATAATTTAAAAAGCTGACTTGCTTTTGACATCATATATTTTAACGGAAAGAAATGGTGAAGGGTTTTTGAAAGCCCTGTGGTCATGTTCAGAACTTTCTGTGACGATGAGCAAATTTTGATCCAGTGGTTCTGTCACCATACGGAATCCAATTTCATTAACGTTCGCACTCTTACAGTATACACAGCAACGCATTCTGCTGTAGAAGGGTATTTTTTTATACAGATGAAGCAAAATAAATTTTTACTGGTTGACATACAAAGCAGGAACAGTCTCCCAAAGTGCTGGGCCGGGAACCTGCAGCTCCGGCTTTTGTTGCGTTGCTGATCAGAGCTCCGCTTAGGGTTTCTTCGTCCGCTGCTCTAGCTCATGCTGGTGTTTAATGAGTCGTTCTATTTCTGTTCCAAGAGTCTGTAGATTTTCCTTTAATAGTTGAAAGAAGGGGGGAAAACAAAAACCAGTAAATCCAAGTTAAAAAACCTGAATTTTTTGGCCTAAGTTTCAGCTCTGAGAATGATGATTTGTGTTAAAACAGACACGGCTGTTTCCAGTGAAGCAGCACATCTACTTCCAAGTGGCACTCACCACACGTTTTGGTGAATACACGTGTTAATCACTTAAAAACATTAATTTTTAAATCCGGTCTATTCAGGACAAAATAACAGCACAAACAGCTGGGGCAGATAACAGCTGTGTAAAGCTAGACACTGGTGCCTCCATCTTAAAAAATGTTTCCTCAGTCACTTGTAACATAAAGGCCACTCACTACCAAATAAACAGCTCATCTTAGAGGTTATCCAACAGCTAAATTCATTTTTCTTGTTCTTTATCTTAGCCAGCTAGCTAATAAATATCATACATTTCAAAAGGGGGGGGGAAATGTATTTAAAAGTGTAGTTAAAATGGCTACCTTGCATCACAAGAGTAACTAACTCACCTACATGCTAGCTCAAATTTTGAAGAGTGGCACCATTTGACTGAATTTATTGGTTGGCAAGTAAGAAACACGAATACCTTCAAAGTAATATTCTTTAGCAATGTATCCTCCAGAACAGCCTGCAATTTTCGGTTGATCTCCAAGGAGAGTTCCAAGGTCAGTCCGCCGTCAGCCGGGTGGGAGGTATATAAAGAGGCCATGATGCCGCCCCGTCTGCTCAAACGGACTTTGTTAAAGTCAGACGCCTCTGAAGAAAGTGTGCCTGATTCTTCCCGTAAAATATAACTCTGAATTATTCTGCAAAATAAAATGACACAATCATTATGTACTTGCAGAACTGAAACCACTAGAATTTACAACTATTATAAGTATACAATAGTATTAATTTAATAGTGGAACTGTTAATAACAGAAATGTATTAGAAAATAAATTTTCCTTATTCAGATGGTGTCTTAATTCCCTTTTTTTTTCTAAGATGGCATTTAAAGATACATAAATATTGCTTTCCTACTTCTCTATTACTTTAATCAAAATATTTGAGCAATTTCTTTATTGCTCTGATTGCAGTTGATACTGTTTTCCTGCTATTAAACTTATGTTTTACTCTTTTTCTAGAAGTCATGGGTAAACTTTTCTGAATATCTAACATTATTTGAAAATAAAAACTAAGAAGTTGGGGCAAAGACCTGCCCTGTAGCAACCTGCTGGCCTGGATGGATACAGCAGGTGGAAGGGTCTGCACAGCACAGGTTCTGAAATGAAGCCGGGTTGGAGCTCCTGCTGCACTCTGTCACCCACAGGCTGAGGGCTGGTTCTGGCAACTTTTAAGTAATTTAGCCTGAGTCCATTAACTTACCTGCTAAATTAGAAGACTCAGGCTAAATTACTTAAGAGTAGTTTTAAGAGATTACAACTAATGCTGTAATATGATGCTGAGATTATCGAAAGGTAGTTAAGCCCTACACATAGTGGTGTAGACACCTAATAAATTACCCTACCAAGTCCTATGCAACAAAAAAATTACCCAGAACCCAAAATCCTCTTAGAACAATAGTCACGGAAATAATAAATTGCGTAGAACACTTTTGTAAACCCAAAATTATTTTTTAAAAAATTAACATCTACTAAATTTGGTATCACCTTAAAGGAAAGATTTGTGTGTGTGTGTTTTTTTTTTTTCATTTTGGTAGTCTCAAAACCTACACCATGACAAGTAATCAATAAAGGCTAGGAACAGAGTAACTATTTTTTAAAGGTAGGCTCTTGATATGACTAATTTTGAAAACAGTAACCTTACCATATGAATAAGGGGATTTTAAACAGATTACGTTACCATAATAAACATACTTTGTCTTTTTCCTAATTTCTTCCACCAACTGTTTGATGTGGTCCTCCATAAATTCTATTTTTTCATTTTTCCGGGCATGTGCTTTTTGCAATCTTACTATCCTCTCAATCAACATGGCCTTGTCTACTTCTGGAAAGTTATCTACTGCTACTGATGACCCAGTATTTTCTGGAGATCGATCTTCTGCACTGCTTCGAGCATTAAGGGACCCTGAAGATCAAAAAATAAGTTTAGATAGTGTGCTTAGCTTAGAATCATCTCTAATCATAAATATTATTTATCCCAGTATCATTTTCAAATATTCAGCTTCAGAGCCTTTGTTCCTGTTTCTGAATGCATTGATGATTACCAAAACAGTCTGTTAATGTCTCTCAGGAACAGGATTAGGAAATGGCAATAGAGAAATAAGAAACTCAAGAAAAAGTTAAAATAACCAGCCTGAAGTGAGACCAAAATTAAGCAGAAAATAAGTATGAGTGAGAACGAGAAGACAGAACACAGCCAGTGGGTTAAGTTCTGGAGTCAGTGTCATAGGGCCAAATCCTACTCCTCAACCTCGCAGTTCTGTGACTTTGGTTGCTTAAGCCTCCCTGCACTGTTCGGGTGAGTCATGGAACCACTCTGACTCTTAGTTTCCTCCACTGTAAAATGAAAATTATAATACTCAAATCACATAACTCACATGATTGTCCTGCAGAGTAAATTATATGTTTAAACTTTTAGCGTGGTTCCTGGCATTCTAAAAATAGTAAATGCTTTGCTATCTTGCTATCATTTCCACAAAGCTACTGATCACAATTTTATAGACTCAGTTTATTTTTACCTTAGACCACAGGTACATTTATCACAAGAAAAGAAATTTTAAAAATACATAAGTACAAATTTATATATATATATACAATAATAACTGATAATGATCATTTCATTAATTATCAGAGATAAAATATAAAAATGAAAGATAGAAACTATGTTATACTAAATATCTATATGGATGATTGTGAATCTGAATTTTAAAATATAACAGCAAATTGTTGCATAGAATTAAGAAGTAGGTAAGAAAAAAAGAGGATGGCAAATGTTACAACTCCCAATGATGTACTTCCATTTAACTGGGAATATTTTTTACTATTACTATCATTATGTACAACTACCCCCTTAAATAATTCAAAATTAAAGGTCATAAATACTTTTCAAAACAAACAAAAATGCTGTTTTTCGGTAATCAACAACTAAAATTATAAGAATTTTACCTGATGAACTAGAACGACTTCCCATGCTGCTGACTTCTTTATCGTAGCTTCCATTCTCGACCTGATCTAATTTTCTTCGTGCTATGGCAAAGTGAAATGGATTACTTGTGGCAATGATCTCAAGCATTTGCTCCCACTATATTTGATTTTAACTGCAATATCATTTAGGTCCAAAGGCAGAAAAACAAACCAAAAGTTCTTGAATACAAACTTTAGGCAGGAGGCTACAGGTGTATTCATACAGAAAGTCATGTAGCAATGTACAGGTCACATACAGAACACACAGAAACATTATGCAACAACTGACACTGGCATCACTTAGATATACTGAATGTATCCTTTGTAATCCAGGAAGATTTAGAAGATCTATAAAGAAATCCTCACCCCCCAATTTCCCTTCAGTTATACCTATAAAAAACAAATGAATTATTATGGCAAACCTGAATACATCTGTTAAATCTATTATTATCTAACCCCCATACTACACCCTATTTTGATACAAATAAAGCAGTGGGGAGTGCAGCAGAGAATAAGATGTCAGAATCTTATTGATCTTTGTATTCAAGTGCATAGCACAGACACCTATTGATTGTTAAGTGAAACAAATCTGGTTCTTAACTGTGTGGATAATTTGTAAATTTTCTGAGTTTCAGTTTCCCACAAGATGAAAGATGAGGTCCCAATAATCTCTAAGTTAGAGGTCTTCAAAGTTGGTAAAGTTACCGAAATGGAGCATAAAATAATTCACTGTAGAACTTCAATTTATTTTTTGATTTAAATTTTTTCCTGAAGGACCACATTGGCTTACACTGCTGTTAGGCTCTGAAAGTCCAGGAGCTCCCACTCCATGTAGTTACCCAGCACATCCACCGCCAAAGCACTCGCAGTCCTTCACCCACCGCATGCCTCAGTTCTGTTCTCAGCTTTCATAGAACTTCAACATAAATTAATTTACCCAGATTAAAATTACTATTTTTCCTACGTTTCCAAATGTACACGAAATAGGATAACATATATTTAAAATTTCAAAATAGATATACCTAAATCAGAGAGAAAGGCTTATATATTTGTTACTGATAGGAATATATGATCAAAAGTTTAGACTCTGCTGCTCTCAGGTACTTCCTTAATTCTTAGCTTTTTTGGTCTGAGAATAATAAATGCCCTGTGGCAGGGAAGACGGTTATTCATGGAGCTGTGAGAAGCTTAGTCATTCGCAAAGAACATATGGTTCTAAGGCTCTGTGTGGTAAAAGCCAATGTAAATCATTTTTCTATAGATCCTTAATGACTAAACTAACACGATCATGCAGACCTAAGCGGGGAAGGACTGTATACCTTGCTGGAGCTGTTTGGTAAGATCCTTGACACTAGAGGCATGTTTACGTCTTTGAGTCACTAGTTCATCTTTTAATTCTTCTACCTGGGTACTCAGAGTCTTAACTTCTGTTTGTCTACAAGTTAGTTCAGTTTGCAGAGCCTGGACTTCCTCTTTTCGCAGTTCTTCCTCTTTCAACAATTTATTTTCCTAAATATTAAGATAAAAAAAAGTTAATATCACAGATTAATTTATTTAGTGCTCACAGATTAAAAATGCAAGTTCTTGGGTAGCAGATCTTTCTATCATCACTCCTTGCTAGGCTTGTTTACTTAGCTCTTCAAATGCCTCATGTAGTAATGCAGACAGATTAACAGTCTGCCGTTCTATATATGCAACATCAGTTGTGATAGATGACTTTGAATTTTTGGACTGAAATGTCAAGTTATTTTCATGATTAAGTTGGTACTCTCATAACTTCAAAATACTAAACCATAAAACATACAGAAATTTTAAGAGTTTAAAAAAATACATAGTAATTCCAGTTAGGATTAAAAATAAACCTGTGGGCGCTCCCTGGTGGCACAGAAGGTTAAAGTGCAGCACTAAGAAACTAAAGCCACATCAGCATGAGTTCGATCCCCACCCAGGAGGTGACCCACATGACGCTGCAGACCTCTCCTGACCCACCCACTGCTCCCCTCAGCAGTGTATTTCATCAATCTGCCCGATCTGAATCCTCTCACCACCCCTGCACCTCTGGCTTGTACCCCAGTTCTGTATGCATAAGTAAATCTTTAAAAAAAAACAACCTGTGATGTACTTCTTCATAACCATTTAAAGGAGAAATTTTATTATAAGTTACATAAGTTGAAAAGAAAAACTAACAATTCTCAAGCAAATAAGATACCAGAGTTGGAGAAAAAGAGTTTAAATCAACTACCATGAGGGAAATTTTATTTGCATCTCTTGCTAAATTGTTTTAAAAGTTAAATATTCATTTATACTTACCAAATTAATATTTGTCTGTTTCATTTGTTCACATTGGCTTTGTAACTGACTTTCACTACAGGAAAGTTTATCAAATTGTGATTGTAAAGAATTGGATTCTGATTGAAGTTGTGCATTCTTACTAGTGAGCTTTTCTGTAAACAGCAGTAGCTCAGATTCTCTTTTCCTACTGCCTTCGATGTCTTTTTGTAGGTCATTAATCAAACAATTAAGACTTTCCATTTCTTCCTTCAAATTTTCAATTTCTTGTTTACCTCTAAAAAACAAAGTTTATATTTTTAAAAAAAAACTATTAAAAGACATTAATGGTTTGGGGATCTTCATCAAATTAAATGATTTAAAATCATTTAATTTGATGAAGATCCCCACTTTTTATTCATTTACCCAAATATTTATGAATGCCCAATGTACGTTAAGAACTAAGCGCTAGGAATGTAAATGAGCGGACCCACATGACCCATTTCAAAGAGCTTTGAGGCACAAGAGGGAAATGATCTGAATGTGACAGAACACTAATGATGAAGGCACAGAGCGTGCTGGCTAAATTTGTGTAAGTGATGCTAAACTGAGACTTTAAGTGGGGGTCAGCAAATTTTTCATGCAAAAGGACCAGGCAGTAAAGAATTAGGTTTCTGGGGCATGAGACTTTTGGTACAACTACTGAACTCTGCCCCTCCAGTGTAAAGGCAGTCACACACAGACAGAAGCGAGCAGGCAGTAGTCAGAAAGCTTTTTTTACAAAAAGAGGCCATGGGCTAGATTTGGCTGTGGCCACCGTTTGCTAATTTCTGGCCTAAAGGAAAAAGCAGGAGTTAATGAGAGAAGAAAGTAGGTATGTGACAGAGTAAGCAGGACAGCTGGAAGCTGGGGCTGGAACGGTGAATGGCCTTAATGGTACTGAGAAGTGCAACACTGATGAAGCTGTGGGCCCTGCCACAGCCCTACAACTCAACACAGAGCTCTGCACTCAGGACACAATCAGTTATCATTTATTAACCAAGTACGGCTAAAACAGAGTGTGAAAGGAGAAGGCCCGGACAGAGAATGGCGGCACAGGCCACTGTGATCTTCCAAGTCACAGTAAGGCATCTGCACTCACCAGGCGCTCCTCAGGCAGCAGGAATCACTAAGAGGGTTTGAAATGGCTTCCTTTTAGAAAAGATTTTGTTAACTACTGTGTAGGAAATGGATTAAAAGGGAATACAGCAGAAGAACCGGTTTTGCTGGGCCAGCTTTCCTGATAAGGACTAATGATGGCTAGGAGGATGGTAGCAATGGTGGGACATAAAAAGAAAATGGACTTGAAAGATTAAAGAGTTGCGACTGGAGAAGGATAAGAGCCAAGGCTGACACCGGGTTCCTGGGCTGAAATTCATGTGGATACCACACTCATTACTCATTTCAGGAACATCAAAGGAAAAACATATTGATGGGTAGAATAGTTTAGCTAGTTCAGGACACCTTAAAGTTTACAGTGTCTCTGATACTTATGTGTCTGGAGCTCAGTAAATAGCCCTAAAGATAGCAATGACCTGAAGATCCTACAGCAAAGTGTGGGGATATTTAGGGACACCAAGTGACTGAATAAAATTTAAAAAAAAAAAAAAAAGAGTTTCATGACAGAAAGAGAAGGCCGCCAAGGAGACTGAGAAAGAAGAGAGGCCAGGAAGTGGGGCAGTGTACCAGGAAAGCATGCTAATATGCAGCCAAAGACCAGAGCAGGAAAAAGAAAAAAATGGGTCCAATGGTGTTAAAAAATACTGAAAATTAAGGAAAGGTGAGACTGAGAAGTGTCTAGTAGGTTTAAGGTTTTACTAACAATGATTTAATGAAGAAAGGAATACACCCTGTACTCCTAAAGAAGTAAAGCAATGGAGGATGAATCCAGATGATTCTATAAAGAAGTTTGGCTGTGAATAAAAGGAGAAAAATGATTTGACAGGAGAAAAGGAATGTTGATGATTTAAAATCAGATTTAATTGTAGAAAGAAAAGAAAAAGAAAAAGAAAGAAGGAATAATCAAGCATGACCTTAAGAATGCAAAAGAGCATAGAGAAAACAATTCAGAGTGTTTCTCCCATATCAACAGAAAGGAAAGAATGGTGTGTTACTGGGAAGTTCACAAGACTGACAGCACAAAGTTGACAGTCTCCCATTTTTTTCTGTGAAGAAATAGGAAAGTCAATAGCGAGTGAAGGCCAGAAACGTGAAGAAAGCAATAAGGTGTGTGTGAACAGATGCCAAGGGGAAGAAAGCTTTAAGTATACTCAGGTTCCCAGGGGAGGTGCAGGAAAGAAATTACAGTAGTTGGATAACGGCGCGGAGTTCCTAAGTGTCGTGGCTATCAGGAACATAAGAAAAAGAGGTTATTTGGGTGTGACCTGAACGCAGGCTCTGCCAGGTTAACATCAGGAGTAGTGTTTAGCTACATGGTTTAACACAACGCTGAGAATAACAGCAGCTCCTTATTTCGAGCTACACACACACAAAGATATATAATCTCTCTTTAAATGAAAAATTACTCTGCATATGTAACAAAATTTGAAAATTAAGAAATGTATTTAAAACCCCCTAAAAGCCACACTGTCTTATAAATTGCTACCGCGAACGTTTAGGGAATATAAACTTTGGTTTTTAGAAGCCATGAGAACTTCAGCGATAATCAAAAAATCAAATGAAGACAGGAATTAAATTTTTTTAAATAGTTAAGGTATAAAATTATTCTTGTTCAATGTAATCCCTGCAGTTAAAAATAGAATCTTGAGGTAGAAGCTAAAAGTCCTTTGGTTAGCACAAACAGAAGTTGTGTTTATACCTCTGATGCTGCTCCTGTATCTGATCTGCAATTTTTACTTTGTCCAGTAAATTCTGAATTTCAGCTTTTTGGCGATTAATAATTTCCTTGTATTTTGATAATTCATCTTCTGTTCTTAATCGTTCATCTTCTAGACATTTCACCTATCAAATAATCATAACCAAGGTAAGCTACAAATAGTCAGTTCCTGTTATTTCTTAACTATTTCAGATAATGGTTAATGTTAATGGTCTAAGCTGAATCTGAAATAATATTAACATAAAGAAAATATAAGAAGTTAAAAGTCCTGGTGTTTCAATCTCAGCTTTTCTGTGATTTAATCAAGGAAGTTTTATCCTATCACTTTATTTTTGCTCAATCTTTTTTTTACTGAATAGAGAGCATAGCCCTTCCCTACTCCCTGAAAGGCTGGCATGGAGAGCAAATAGAAGCGTACATGGAAAGTACTTTGAAAATTACTTAAGTGATCACAAATTCAAAGTGACTTAAATCTTTTTAAATAGATCCATGAGGAGATAACTTATTAAACTGGTATACTATTACAATAAAGACTATAAAAACTGAAAGGATTTAATAGATTAGACATTCAAACTATACATGGCTGTGAAACATATCCAGAAGAAATATAAAGAAAGTGTTTTTATTATTTTTCACTCACAGCTCTAAAGACCAACTCTTTCCAATTAATTTGCTGTGAGATCACCTTCAGAGCAGCAGCCCGAGGGTAAGTCATGGACAGAAAGCTGTGGGACCGGAGCTGGGCGCTCACCCACTGAAATGGAGGAATTTTCATTTCAACAAAGATGACTGTCTTGTACAAAAATGACAGATTACCCTTCAGAGTTCTTTTGTTTTAGAAAATTTCTATGTACCTATCTCTTCCCCAACATTTAAAAAATCAGAATTAGTCCAATATATTTACCCTACTGCAAAGTCACGACTAAAGATGCATTACCTTTGTTCTCAGTGTTCGTAGTTCATCCATGCCCTCCTTAAATGTTCTCTTCAGATCTTCCAGTTCCTTTATTTTGGCATGATGCATCTTTTCAAAAGTTTAAAAGAAGCCACAATTATTATGTACTAAACTAGATTCAAAATTTATTGCCTTATACCTTCCAAAAAGCCTTAAAAACAGGTGACAAGAAGTATTCACTCTCTTTCCACATCTATTACAGTCTAGAGCATACATAGAACAAAGCCACTCACCTCCAGCTGGTCAGATTTTTCCTGCATTTGTTTCTCAAGTTCTCCTTTCGTAACTCTAAGCTTGGCGTCTAACTCATTTGATTTAATTTCTTCTGACTCCTACGGAAATGAAAAAATTATGATTTAATTTTGATAAGTTTATACTTTGGAAAGTGAAAGGTTTGCAATTAAGTTTACTAACTGCAATATGTATCACTTATACACCTAATGTGATGTCTGCACTGAAAAACTTTAAATACTATAATTGTGCATGAATAAGAATAGCATATTTAAGTCTGAAATACAACACAGGGTTCTTTTTCTTTTTAAGTGTACCTTTCCTTGTACTCTTTATTCTTCTGACAATTTCAAGTGTTTTCATTTGGCTAATAATTAGTATAACAAGATGTTATTAAACTTCAAATTCATTTTTTAAAAAAAGATTTATGCATACAGAACTAGGGTACAGGCCAGACGTACAGGGGTGGTGAGAAGATTCACCAGACACAGAGTGGGGAGCAGAACAGGCCGACTGATGAAGTACACTGCTGAGGGAGCAGCGGGTGGGTCAGGAGAGGCCTGCCTCGCCATGTGAGTCACCTCCCAGGCAGGGATCAAACTCATGCTGAAGTGGTTTTAGCTTCGTAGTGCTGTGCTTTAACCCACTGCGCCTTCAGAGAAGGCCCTCAAATTCATTTTTAAAAAAGAAAGTAATGTGAATTTTATTCAACTGCCCTATCAAATCCACTCCATACTTCAAATACTGCAGATCCAAAAATTTAATGAAACAGAAGTACTGATAATTAGCAAATTTGTTATTAATCTACTTAAAAAGTTAAGCATACCTGATATGTTTTTATCATATCCTGACAATTTTTTCGTATTTGATCTGCTTCTTCCTTTGCTTGGGTTAACTTTGTTGTTGTTTCTTTGAGTTTATCTTTGGTTTCCTGTATTGAGATACAGAAAGTAACAAGGCTGGGCACAGTGAGATGAGATAAGTGTTAAAACAATGAGGGGAGAACAGGAAAAGTTCTTGTTACCCGCACAGCCACGAGTGGGTTGGGTACTCCTCTGAAAGTAACATTTTATGCTTCTCACAACAAACTAAAGTGGCATGAACAGAAAGCCATTACATAAAGCTCAATTTGATAGAGATTTCAGCAAATCACTAGAAGATACTCATCTAAGAAGGCAAGATCACTAAAGTGTTAATTCTTTGCACACACAGACAGAAGCCAACTCCTGGTTGACAGCTGTGATATCTATGGAAAACTGCCTACTTATTAATCATACAACAGTTTGCTTTCTGTTTCCAACCAGTCCCCAAAATGTCACTTCTAAGGGTTAGCAAGGACTACTCTCCTATTAAATCCTATTGCTTTGTCTTGTTTCTCGCTCTTCACTTACCTGGTGCGGTTTCGATCACTCCTAGTTCTCTAGATAGCCTTGCTTCGGCTTCTACATAAGACCACACCCTACCCCCACCCCTGTTCTGTGTGCGTTTTGTTGCTGCCTTCTCTGTCTCCTAACCTGGCTTCCTACTTCCTGTGGCAGCTTTCTCTAAAATTCTCCTTCAGAGTAGCCATGCCAAGTCTCAGGGTCTTGGCCACTGGCTAGATTTCAAATGAGAGTCCAGGCATCTCTCTCCTACTAGCAACACTGCTCTTCTGCCTCCCTGCAGATATAATCCGTATGGTCCCAAGTTAGAACAGCTGATACTCAGACTGCAACAGACAGGTTTCTTCATTGAACACAGCTGTTAGACAGCACCTAGAGTTCACACATACTAGTTGCCACATACTAATTGTTCAGTATTTGTTGAATTAATGAGTACCTAACAGAAACCTCTGTTCTAGTTAAAATGGCTTTCCCAAACACCAAAAACACTTATCCTTTCCCTTTTTTCTTGTTCCTCCGCTGAGAATGCCTTTTCCCTTCATCTACTAAACCATTTAAACTGCATCTAACCTCACACAAAGCCTCTTATATAAAACTTTGTTTTCAGATGAACTACTACATAATAAAGTACTAAGTTGTATCATTTCAGTTACTAGTCTGACTTGTGTAAAACATTTGGGCAGCTCTCCTGCCAGCCTCTGACTATGTAGGTACCTCTCTTTTTCTCCTTTTCATACATGGGGGGAAAAAACAAATATTTGGAAACTTGTTCAGATATTCGATTTTTAAACATCTGAATGTAAGTTTGACTAGGGGAAGGCAAAAGGAGGGGGAGAGGGAGTGGGAAGGGAAGAAAGAGAGGGCCAGGAGAGTGGAGAGAGCAACTTTATCTGGCTTTCCCCACTTGTATATCACCAATAGCTTAATCTGTGGGTGGCATATAACAAGTACTCACTTCACTCAGAAAATAGCAATTCAGAGACTCCTATATATCAAGTAAATATTAAATTAGTAAACTGTTGACTAGAAGCAAAGTGAGAATCACATGCAATGTGTAACAGGCACTATGTTTCACTCTGATTCATCCACTCGGTAGCCACCGAGCGCCTCTGACACACCAGGTACCTTTCTATGCTCTGGGGAAAAAACACTGTCAGGAAACAGATAAAATCTCTACTCTAACAGTCTAGAGATAGAGATAGATCCTAAGTAAATTACATAAATAAACTGTGAAGAGTGCTAAGGAATAAAAGTAACAATGTGTGAGTTTGGTGGGAGGTTCTCAAAGCTTAGAAAGGGATATGCTATACAAACAGCAAGACTAGTAACAGTTCTACTTATTAACAATAATTTAATGAGGCATTAAACAATATCACTGAGTTTATTTTTGAAAAATGGAAATTAGTATTTCTGTAATATTACTTTTCTGTAAGTCGTATGTCAGAGTTGTTCTCTTACTTCATACTCTCTCACCATCAGGTATTCAGTTCAGTTGGTGTTTAAAGTATGGCTTCAGATAGCAGTCTTTATAATCACTGGATGGTCTTACAATGAATCCATTAGGTATAATGCACAGAGTTATATTTAGTAAGTAGTCTTAAATTTTTTTATATTTGTGTATAAATAATAATTCATATTCCTTAGCATCACTGATATTCTGTAAACTGCCAAAGTTCACTTTTGATTGTATTAACTCTACAAATAACCTTATAATTTTGATAACCACTTCTCCCTGAATTTCTGACAATGTTTCATGTAAAATATAGCATATCAAAAATGCTGAAAGAACAAAGTCAGTTTGGAGATGGCAAACAATGAATGACAAAAATTAACCTTGAATATGTAAAACATGCAAGGAAATATCTTTTCAAAATCAACAAATATTCATGCCTAAACTATCCATAGGAATCGCTAAGTTAAAAACGTCATGCCTCATTAAATATTACTGCATTTATGCTTAATGCTATTTCTAATAATTTTCCACTATTTTTACTATACCCACCTTGTGTGAATCCATTTCCACTTTCAATTTGTTTTGTGCCCATTTTACTTTAATGATGTGAGAGTTGATATCTTCCTTTAATTTGTCTATTTCTCTGATGAGTCTAGTAGTTTCACCTTCCTAAAATAACAACACTGGTCAAAACCAATAAACTGATTATCTGTGCATAACCACCTCAAAAGGATCAATGCAATAATACTAATTCAGGTGCTGGTAGTGCATTAAAGGACCCCAAGCAATAAAATTGATGTAAACCATAAGAGGGCAACCTAATCCTAAATCTGATCAAGAGGCATGAAAATGATTAATACTTCTGAGTATTATGTGCAGAGATACAGCTATGCTGGCAGAACAAGCATGCCTTTATGATTCTTCCCAACTGACAGGCATTACAACAAAGTGCAAGTTAAATTGGTTCTACCAGAATTCCTGAGAACAAGGACATTTCCTGAACTAAAGAGTTAATGAAATAAACTAACATTCACCACCAAGAAACAATAACCCACTGGAAATGAGACCATGCCATTCTGTTAGTTAACAGCAAGCATTCTGAACTCCTAGTAATTAAACCTCCTTGTAAGCACCTAAGAATACTTTTCTACAAGAAAAATATAAAGTCCATTCAATGCTAAGTGCTACATTAAGATTCTGGTCAAAAAATATGTATCTGACACTACTATGTACATATTTTACCAAAATAAAATCTTCCTTTGATGCACAAACTCATTACTTCAAAAATAAACTTTAAATTCTTAAAAAGGTTTATCATCAGGAAGTTATCTAAAGAACAATTTACATGTCAATGCCTAATACTTTCCCAGCAAATTTTTTTGCAGACAGGTAAAAAGACACTGCAATCACCCAAGCATACATATTCTTGTAGGTAAAATAATAAAAATTTTATGTTCAAGAGTAGTTTAGCATGTTACATTGTGATAGAATTAAAGAAAAGCAAAGATTACAATTTTGGTTAGATACATCACACAGGTACTACCTTTGTTTCATACAGCTGGTGTAATCGTGCTTTCTCTTGAGAAAGCTGCTTCATTTTGTTGGTGTTTTTCTCAGATTCCTTATTTGCATCTCTGAGTTTTCTCTCAAGTGTCTCTTTTTCCTTTCGAAGGTCTAAGGATTCCTTCTCACCTCTTACATACTTCATTACCATTGTCTCTTTTTCCTGACGTGCCTCTTCACATTTTTTGTTGGCCTTTGAAAAAAATATTATCTAGCTGAATAAAATACTTTTCAAATCAAAATAAGAATAAATTAAATTTTTTCCTATAATTTTACCAATGTCTTTTTCAATGTTTTGCAAAATATTCCAAGGAAATGTGTCAGGAAATTTTAAAATGAAAGAAAAAACTCAAAATTTTAACAATACAATAAAGTTAACACCACTAATATTTGCTTTAACTGTTTTTCCTATTCCTTTTACTTTGGCTGGTACAGTTGCTATTTTCTGCTTACTACTCTGAATCCACATTTCTCACTGTCCTATCTCACTCTGTGCTCAGGGATGTCTGTTGTGGGTTCTCAACAAGTGTCTTTATCCCTGTTCTTCCAGCTGGTCCTCTGGAGGCACAGGACAGGAGATCAAGAGGCAGAGAGTGAGATTGACAGTTATCACAGGTTGGTAAAAGGTCACTGCTTCTGTCACCTACCCCCTCTTCACAAGTGACCTCGCGGGCTGTCCTACTTGCTTCTTTTCTTCATTCTTTTAGTCCAACAAGTGATAATGGATCATCCACAATCCAGATTCTGCATTTGCCCTTGTTCTGGTTCCTTAATCCTTGCTCACAACTTTGTAGAGTTCTTTTATTAAAGTCTCTTCAAATCATCAGTTTCTGGTTTCAGCCAGTAACCTGAATGTATGGCTGACAATTTTAAAAATCTATAATCTTAGTCACCTAATCTGAGAAATGGAGAAACTTCAAGTTGGAAAATTTAACTGAGGAAAAGTACGCATGTGTGCTTGAACGCATGCACCTCATGCTGGGACTCTAGGTCTAAAATTTATCAGGTTGCATGACTCTTTTATTTTAAAATATAGTAAGATCAAAAGAGTAATTTCTTTTTTTGCAGCTCACTAGGTTAGATGACTCTCTAATCACCTATGTCTGTGTCCACTAAAACCAGTAACTTCTTAAGGTTTTACTCTCTATAATTCCTTTCAATTATTTCTCTGTCTGAAAACTTGTAAGGATGGGTTTGAAATAGGTAACATTTCAAATGTTAAGGATCTGTGTACTATAAGTAATTGCAAAAATAAAGGTTCAGTATCATATTCCTAACGTTCTTCCAGAAAGTCACTTAAGGTAGAAAGGGCAGTATCCATCTCAGTGAGTGGTTACCCTTTCAGACTCGACTCGAAGTGAGGACCAACTGTAAGTCAGACACTGTGCCAGGTTTCATGGATGCAGAAGTGAACAGGACTGAGACTCGCCCCATAAACAAGGAGCTAAGTAATACAAAAGTAATGCTTAAAATGACCTCAGCTGAAACTTGAAAAGTTACCCAAAAAGCAGCACAAGATTTCAATCAAGTATGGGGGGAAAGTATATGCATATGTGATTTATATATGCATATAAGACATAAAACCGAAATATCAAAACTAGCTATGGAACAAGGAACAGAATGGATGTAAAAGAATAGGGTACAAGAAAGAAGAAGTATGCTTGTTATTCTAGGTATCCCCTAGTTTATTAATTTCATGATGTGACTAGAGTATATTTATATATGGCTACATCATTTCTTTAAAGAACAATTAATTTTTGCATAAATGAAATTACATATTCCTGATATATAACCAATGTTCAAAATAGTCTGATAGGGTTAGTTTATTTTACTAAATAAGTTACCACAGTATAAAGTTAATAACAACTTGAAAAATACCTGTTCCAACCGATGGGCCATCTCTTTATGTAATTGTTGAATTGCATTTTTTGCTGCATTGTCTTGAGCTACTAGTTTATCTTTGGAAGCTTTAACTTCTTTATTAAGTTCATCTATTCTTGATTCTAACTGTAAAGAAAATTACTTCTATATTACTAGTATATTTGTAACAAACACATCACTGATAACCTCCAATAAATATAAACCATGAAATGAACACAAAAGATGTAGTAAATACACTTCAACCCAGAAACCCAAAGTAATTCTAGCAATGTTTCTAAATCTCATTTAAATTAAGTTAGGATAATTCTGAAGCAGATTCTGATAAAATATATATTATAAGCTCTAGAGCAATAACCAAGGAAATAAAATACAATGAAAATATTATGAAATAAATTCAATATTACATATTTACTTAATGCAAAAGAAAGCTGTAGAGGATGAATGGAGAACAAGATAGACATGAAACACAGAAAAAACTGGCAGACATAAATCCAAATGTCAATAACATTAAAATGAAAGTAAATACTCATCAAAATGTAGAGACAGAGGAACAAAAATCTATGCACTTGTAACAATTGAAAATGAAATTAAGTAAATAATTCTACATGTAATGACACTGAAAAGAATACATTATCTAAGGAACAAATTAACAAAAGAAGTACAAAAGTTACATTCTGAGCTATAAAAGACTTGAAAAAAATTAAAAATTAAAATAAATGGAAAGACGGTCCATGTCTGTGCACTGGAAGACTATTTTAAAAGTAGTATTACTGCCCAAATGAATCTACAGATTTAATGTGATCTCTATCAGTAACTCAGCTAGTCTCACTGCATAAACTGGTAAGCTGGTAAGTAAAACTTAAAACAGAAATGCAAGTCAAGCAACCCTGAAAAGAACAAAGTCTGAGAACTCTTAGTTCCCGATTCCAAAACTTAACCATAGAACAACAGTAATCCACACAGTGTGGTACTGGCTTAATAACAGACATAAAGAGCAATAAAACAGGACTGAGAGTCCAAATATAAGCCCCTATACCAACAAATCCCTATGTCCTTCAACAAAGATGGCAGGATGTTTCAATGGAAGAAAAACAGTCTTTTCAATAATAAGTTTTGGACAACTGACTAGTCACACACAAAAGAAAAAGAATAAAGTTGGCCCTTTAAATTATACCATGTAAAAATTTTAATTCAAAATGAATCAAAGTCTAAATATGAAAGTCAAATTATAAAACTCTTAGGAGTAGAATATAGGAGTAAATTTTCATTATCTTATATTTGGTAAATGAATGTTGCATATGACAGCAACAAAAGAAAAAAATAAAATGGATACCATCACAATTTAGAAGTCTGTAATTTGAAGTACATTATTACTAAGAAAAGAAAAACAAAACCCAGAGAACAGGGGAAAATATTTGCAAGTCATATGTCTGATAAAGATTTATTATCCAGGATATAAAGAGCCATTACAGCTCAACAATATATAGTAAAGAAAAAAAAAAGAGGCCTTAAAGAGTTGTTTCTCTGTAAATATCTATTTAAAATATATATTAAAGACATGTAAAAAGACTTATCTAAAAGACTAACAAGACTGTGAAAAGATGTTCTAATTCATTGGTTGATTATTCATACCAAAAAAAAAAGGTGAAAGAAATGTTAAAATCAATATAATATATACAAAACATCTCAAAATGTAATCAACATGAAATATTGAGAGGTTTTACTTTTTGTACTAAGTCCTCAAAATTAAGCATATATTTTAGGAGTTTTTTGTTTGTTTTGGTCAACAAATAGTATTATTATTATATACTGGTATTATATACATTATATACTACATTCATAAGATAGAGTAAATTAAAAATTTTCCACAAGATTACGAAGTTTTAAATATTTGTGAATTTCTTAAGCCTTCAACATTGCATTTTCAGTCACTTACTCATTTGGAATAGCCACCTTTCTAGCGCTCAATAGCTATATGTGACTAGTGGCTGGCATACTGAATGGTACAGATCCAGAGATAAAGTAAAATCCTCCTATACTGGTCAGTAAAAGATAAATCAATTTCCTTTTAAAAAAAGGCAAAATGGGGCCCTCCCTAGTGGCGCAGCGGGTTAAAGCACAGCACTGAGAAGCTAAAGCCACTTCCGCATGAGTTCGATTCCCGCCTGCCCCGGAGGTGATCACATGGCGCAGCAGACCTCTCCTGACCCGCCGGCTGCTCCCCTCAGCAGTGTACTTCGCTGATCTGCCTGTTCTGCCCACTCTGTCTCTGGTGAAGCCTCTCGCTGCCCCTGAGTCTCTGGGGCCTGTACCCCACTTCTGTATGCACAAATAAATCTTTAAAAAAAAAAAAAAAGGGCAAAATGACTAACATAAGAAAGGAACACTTCTGGTTTCTCCCGTTTATTCAGTTTAAAATTTCTGGTCATCAGCAGCTACCTGCTACAAAATTCAACCCATCATTAAGGTTCTATTACAATTTTAAAAAGTCTAAGTTTGGACTCTCCCTGGTGGCGCAATAAGTTAGGGTGCAGCACTGCAAGCTAGCTGCAGCTGCCTCAGTGCGAGTTCCATCCTCAGCCCCGGAGGTGACCACATGACACAGCAGACCACTCCTGACCTGCCCACTGCTCCCGTCAGCAGTGGACTTCATCAGTCAGCCTGTTCTGCTCCCCACTCTGTCTCTGGTGAAGCCTCTCACCGCCCCTCACCTCTGGCCTGTACCCCAGTTCTTTATGTCTAAATAAATAAATAAATCTTTTAAAAAAAAGTCTAAGTTTGGTTTATCAGTGATGGTCCTAGAGTACATAAAAATTAGATACATAAAATTTACAGGTAGTTACCTTCCACTATGTAGTGGTGCACCAAGTATAAGCAAGTGAAATTTATTTTAGTTTTGCAATTATGTTTTTACCAATTTTTTTTTCACTATATAGCTTTTTAAAAGATGAGACCAAAAGAAAAGATTTTTAAGACTAGAAAAGATTTGCAGAAGAAAAAGTAGCTCAGCTTTGCTACAAGTCCAAATAGTCATTATTTGTTCACTGGGGGAAAAGACAAAGACAGGACAAGATGGAAATGGAGGAGAGAAGGGGAAGGTACAGGAGGAAAAATAAAGAAAAGGAGAGAGCGGACAGGCAGGGTGAAGAGAGAAGGAAGGAGAAGCCAACTGTTGGTTTTCCCGGGTAGTTCACAAATACACTGAAAATGCAATTGTATTAAACTGTAACTTAAAAATACTTTGATGCCAGAGATAAATTTTATTTAAGGTGTATACTGCTTTGTCCCTAATTGAAAAAACAGTATTTGATTGCCAAATCAATTCGTTTTCCAATTTCTTTTTATATAGTGACCAACATCATTTAAAAATAGAAATTCATATAAAATAAAAAAAGGTTATAAATCCCACTGCAAAGAGAATGCTCTCCATACATAGCAATCCTGTGTTTAAAATATTTAATTGAAAGAACTTCAATTTCTATATAAATTTTCAAACATGCATTTTATTCTATAAATTGAATTAGTTTTTAAAGATTTTTGTTTTCTCTTTTTACCTGTTTAATTGTGTTCATGTGCTGCTTTTCTGTTTCTGTTCTTTTTTTTAGTTCTTCTCTTAAATTGTCTTTTTCTGAACATATATCTAAGATGAGTTCCTGATGCTTCTTATTTTCTTTAATTAACCTAAATGTAAAAAGGGAAGTATAAGTAAAACATAGTTAAAAATGAGTAAGTGGAATATAACCTGTTTGCAGGTTAGGCTGCAGATGCTTCTGGTTACTACATGAACACTGCTCAACAATCCTGTTGCAATGCCACATGCAGATACTTCACAAAACATTCTCTAGCCAATCAAGCTGTGAACTTTTCCTAGTTCAAATCAAGTAATACATAACCAGATGAATAAAGATGGCCTTTGGTATCTCAATCACACATTTCATTCCTTCAGCACTGAACTCATGCAGACCAGTGGTTTTCAACCAGGGGCAATTTTGCTTTCCAGGAAATAGTCTAGAGACATTTTTGGTGGCCACCACAAGTGCAGGAATTAAGACTGGCTTCTTCTGGGTGGAGGTCAGAGATGCTGTTAAAAACTCTACTCAGAGAAGGGCAACCCAACCAACAATAATAATCTGCCTTCAACTGGCAACAGTGCTGATGCTGAGAAGTCTTGCATTAGCAATTTATTTATTTAGCTTTACTATTTTCATGATATTCTTATAGTAGCTGATGTAAAATAACAAAAATGTAAGCAGAAATTTCCCTGAGCCTAACCTTTATAATTTTCTGCGAAGTACTAAGAATTTTAAGATACTTAAGAAGGCTAACAGTTAATATTTTAGGACTATTAATCACAACAGCTATTACTTAACACTGATTGCACAACTATAATTTACTTAATATAGCTTTTATTTAGTTTTAACTGCATTATATAAAAATTTCTGTGAAAAATATGAGTTGTCATAAAAAATTCCAAATCTTTAATGAACTTACACTATTTAATGAAATATTCCTTTAGACTTACATACTGAAAAACTCGACACACTTGATATTTGCTCAATTATTCAGTAAATATATACTTGTTGATCAATTACTCTGTTCATGGCTCTACTGCGGAATACATAGTGGACAAGATGATACCGGCTCTTTAAAGAATGATATCTAAGCCCTGTGGGAAAAATAATCTGAAAGAATTAAAAACTTACTTCTTTATAGTGTGCTCCTGCTGCAAATACTTATCTTGCACACATTTCTCAAACATAACTAATGCATGTTCCCCCTTATTCATTCCATTTGGTACTTGGTGTTCTTTTACGCACTCCGCAGAGAGGAGCTCAGATTCTATTTCTTCCAACAAATCTTCCGATGCTGAGGCATTCTTTATTTTTGAAATAAGTTTCTTGGTGCAGTCTGTATCATAGGGGCTGTCTAAGTAAGTCTTTTGATTAGCTGCTTCTGAAAATGTAGATGATCTTAAATCCGCCAATATTTGTGTTACTGTCTGCTCAGTTTCATCTGCTTTGGAAGCCAGCTTTGAAGAATCTTCACCAGGAAAATTAGTTATTTGTTCAGAATCTTCTGGGCAGATGTCTGTTTTAGGAAAAGAAGCCTCACCTCCACCACGATCTGGAATATAATTTTCCTGTGCTTCACTTTGATTATCTTGTTCTGTAGGCTGACATAAAGCTTTATCAAAGTTTAATGACAACAGTTCGGACTCATTTCCTAAGCTGCTACTTTCATCACTAGAAAACAAGTTGCAAGATTCTTCCTTTAATTCAGGTATTTTCTTAGCATCTTTATCTGAGGAAACGGATGCTACGTGCTCTGTTTCTGACATGGTGACAGGCACTAATTCATTCTGCATTTCTTCAAATCTGATCTTCGTTTTACATCTATAAAAGTCAAAACATTAAAATTTAGCAAAAAACAAATACATTAACAACCACAACCCCATATGATGCAGAATAAATAAAGTTACAATTTTACCATTAACCATTCTTATAAAAAAGCCATTCCTGGGAGGAAAAAAAAAAGATGACAAGTTCAAGTGTGTGACAACCAACAGGGTCTCCTCTTTCCACCTTGAATTCAGCCATTAAGAAAGCTCTCATTAATTTCAGCTGTGCTCTGGCATCTCCAATCAGGCCCATCTGAAGTTGGGTAAGGAATAATTCTAGTTAACTTGAAGATTATTGCTAAGGAATTATTTAGAATTCCTTCAGCTCCAGAAGGCAGCTCCAGAAGGGCAAAAAGACTATCTCAAGGCCCTGTAATAAAATATCAGGGAAATAAGACAGCAATGAAAACACGGGGAGAGAAGTTACAAACCAAGAGTGTAAAGGAATGCACATTAATACTGACAAAAATTCTTTGAGAAGTAACACTAACTAGTAACAAAACACAACTAACTACCTATATAGATCAGACAGACACCTAGAGCTGACCTAAAAGAAGAGGAAGGAAGCCCAGGGAGGAATTGTTTTTCATTCAGACAGGCATCCAGGAAGTATCATGGTGATTTCCAAACATTCTTATCAAGAATAAATAATGTTCAGTGCAACTCAAATGGAGCCCATGTGCATTGCCTAGGTCATAACAGTAACATTTATAAAAACTAAATCAACATTAGAATATATTTTATGCTATTTATCGGGGGGGGGGTTTAACCCTAGTAATTTTCTGAAAATTCAGAGAACTTCAAAAATTATCCTGAGACAGAAAAATACAATGCTCTTGATAAAAAAGAAAAACTGTCACCTTCTCTTATAACATATCACTAAGCATGTTTGTGGGTAAATGAAGCTGGCTAAAAAAAAGTAAGAGTTACAGTTTTGATAGAAACTACAGGAAAAAAATAATTTGGAATGAAGGTGTACTTATGGTAAACAAAACATTACATTTTTGAATAACGGAAAGATACATCTGTGATGGAGGTGGTTGTCCAAGGATAGTTAAAAAAAAGAATAGAGCCCTTAAAATGACATGTGGAAGTGAATTTTATTAAGAAAGCAATAAATCATGATCTTATTATCAATACACAGTTTCTAGCACTAGTAGATCCTCAAGTATTTACTGAATTAAAGCACAGAAGCACTAGGATAAAACTAGTATTTAAGGAACATTATTAAAATGCAGAAAATGGGAAGAATAAACTTTACAAGGTAAAAGATCAGATTGTTAAATACCATGTCTTTAGAGTGCTCTTTGGGAAATCAACTAAAATAGATATTGGCCTTAATACTTTACTTCCTGTGTAACATATACTAACAGAAACTACCATCATCAACTATTTATATGGTGTAACTAAGATAAAGCCCACATGAGCATTAAGGTCTGACTTAAGACAATACAAATAAATGAAGTGAATAAAAGGCCTCATAAGTCCAGCATCCTGGACAAAATAATTCTCAAACAGAGACACCAGCCAGCCATATTACTCAAAGTTGCTCACTTGATATAAATTGTGAATATGTTGATGCAAGATTTGAAACCTCAATTTAGAAATTAATCTAAAACTATGAAAGAGAGTGATTTTAAACATCATTATAAGTCAGTGCTACATCAACAGAACTCAGAGCTGGCCAAAATGTAATGCATAGCAGATAAGGAATCTATTTGAAAGAGACTGAGATTAAAGGCTCTGGGACTCTCCAGGACAGGGCAACTGAGAAGAAAGTTTATCTTTGCAGATTATAGCTTTATCATGGGTGCCACACTTTGTCAAGAGAAAAACACTAAGTAAATACTGGTTTCTCTCTCATCCATCTTTCATATCCCCCAGAGTTTAGACCTCCTCTTCCCTCCCAGAATTCTTCCCTCCCAGAATTCATCCATTTTGATAACTTGGAACAACCACAGTCTGATGTCCACATTCATTCATTCATTACTGTGCTCAAGTTACAGGGGATGAATTGGCTATTTCTTCAGCTACACTCTACATATCTGTATTAAAATCTCCACCTGAATAATAAGCATTTCCCTTGGATGTCCCAGCATAACCTCAAATTCAAAATGGCTACCCCTGAAGTTACAATTAGTTCCCAGAATTACTGTCCCAGGTCATCTTTTCTATGACTGTCACTTGTATCAAGCATGACTCCTTCCTTTACTTTGCCCTCATAGCCTTACCAATTTATGTCTCCTGCAATTATACCCTCCTTTCTACTGACATTATCCCCTGTCTGCAACCCAACCAGCCCAGATCATTTTATACCTGGAACCTTGAATTGCAGGTTTGTCAATCTCACACCATTCCTCCCATTTGCTCTTTCTGCAACTCCAAATGAAGGAAGAGGTGAATGGAAGGGTGGGTGGCTGGAAACAGACCCGACCCAGAGGAGGGGCTTAAGTGTGTAATACATTGTCTCTGCCAAGGGAAATGGAAACTGCCTTTAAAGATGTGAGTGTACCGCACTAAGTTAAATATTCTGTAAGCCCAGGTCACCAGGTGAAGGTCACCTCCTACATAAGCTTCTTGACCATAAATAAAATCTAAATAGGAATCAGGTATATAAAAACATTTTCCTGAATGTATGTTTTTACAAAGATCTCCTGGCTGAAGATAAGGACCAGAAAATGTCAGCACCAGAAACAGACATTCCTAAAGACCCTCTCCCATACTGAACAATACACGTCATTTTACCAAATCAGTCTCTTCAAGAGATTCTTTGGTAATGCTAGTTTCACTGTTGCCTTTTCTCAGCTCAAGTATATAAAGAATTGTCCTTTGGATGCTCCATCTTGGCCGTACCTTTTATTCAGCTCAGATACTCCCTAAGAGATTGAACTAATTGAGTTTAGTTACAAAACAGTTCTCAATGACAAACAGGACCAGGGAGCTACATAGTGCCCTTAAATATTCCACACAAACCATGACTAAAGCAACCAGATAGACGAGAGTGAGGTTAGAACTATTTCTTCCCTCTTTAGAAGTTCAGATAATGGCAACTCTGCAGCCATTGCTGGTCTTTCCCCAACTCCAAAAGGACTAGCTAGACAAAAAAGAAGTGGAAACACATACTTTAGAGCCAGATCACACCTCTTATTCATCTGAACATCGGGGAACAGGTCCAAACTCTCTTCTGTAGTTAACACTTGTGTAGCTTTGTTTTTGTTTTCAAAATGATTGAAACTTGTCTTAATTTCTGGAATAAGTTTTCACTACCAATTAAAAGTGGCAGAAAAGTTTATAGTATCAAACCAAAACATTACTAAGGGAGTGTACTTCAGAAGGAAGTGGAGGGGAAAGAGGGATTTTACACAGTATGACTGAAGCTTCACTTAAAAGAAAAATAAATCCATTTTATATTAATATCTTAGAATTGTGATTCTTCAATAAACCAGATGTACTATTTTTCCAATCTTATAACACATTCCAAAACTCCCAGTACTTCCTTCTCTTTACCAATTTTGACCAGTATACTTTAAGATTCCTCCAATTTGCACATTAATATTTCTTGGCTTTGTTGTCACCTAGAATTTCCTTCCCATCTATCTAGAAACTACTTATATTTAAAGGATCAATTCTAAATTGATATTCAGAATCAGATATTTAGACTTAGCATATTTCTGCAAATTTTCTGTAACAGCAAATATACAAATAATCTCCTATATAACTAAAAACATACTTATATTCATCAAACACACAGACACTGACTTCCGTGTGACATTTCTGAATATGCAATCTTCAGCCTTTTAAATGATCTCTACATTTACAAGGCAGGAAAAAAAAACATTTTAACCTGAGCCAAACTTTAAAAATCTCAGGCAACAGCAGAGTAGATGCTCAAGATGTAACAGCCTAGGAGTAGATTAAATGAAGTGAATGTAAAATTCGACATTTGTTTATAAAACTGTTTTAGTAAGAAGTGTTTGCCAAAATCAAACTCACACATAATTACAATCAAAGATTACAGTACTGGTTGTTCCTCTGAGGTTTGAAACAACTGGCTAATTAACTTTTTAGCAACTCTTAATCATTAGAGGGAAATACTATCTTTAATGCATAGCACAGTCACAAAATTTCTCTTAATTCAAGCACCTTCTTTTTCCAGTGTTGTTTCTGTTTCTGACACAGTACTACAGGACCAATTCACACTTCAAAAGTTGTCTCAGTGGAGTGAGAACTGGTTTCGCTCTTACTGGAGCTCATCAGCTGTAGGCAACTAAGTCAAGAAACATTTATTTGCCTTAAACTATTATCCACCTTGGACTTCATTAATGAAAGAACCCACAATTCTCCAAAATTATTTCTTTACAAGAGCCATATAAATAAAAACAATGCACTATTCCTTGTTTCCAACAATTAAAAGTATAAGCAAAAACTTAAGTTTATTTAATAAGCTCCAAATACAAATCAATCCAACCAGCATATATTTGGTAAGAAGCTACCAATAAGAAGCTACCAAGTAAATCTCATACAACAGTACCAAGTCAGAAATACATTTCCAAACTAGGTATTAATTCACTCATCAAATACCTATTATGAACGTGTGTTGTTCTCAGGCGCTGAAAAACATGCTGGGAACTTGGCAGTGCCACAGACCTCCCTTACAGAGATTACATTCAGGGTAACAGACCAGTATGTAGAACCCCACGTTAAAGCATTTACTATTCGTGTTTAATCTGAAGATCTTGTCAGTATTCCTTCAGAAACTATAAGTTTTTGTGAGTGTTTTAAATCCAGCAGAAAAATCTTGTCAGTTCAACATAAATATTAATTACAATTTTTAAATTACAAATTATACCTTTAATTCTTAAAGAACACCAAATATATTTCTCAAATAATGCACATTAAGATAGGCAGGTTGTGGTTGTGAGAACATTCCTCCTGTCCTTCAGTGTAATGGTTTACACTGTCCTTTTGAAACAATAAGTACATCAAACAGGTTTTTACATATTCCCCAAATACACTTTGAAAGCAGCATAAACAAAAGCCTAACTTATCTTTCTAACCAGTTCTAAAGGCAATTAATGTCAGAAGCAATTAAGTCAAAATAGCAGCCATAGTCTAACATAACCTGATCCCAACCCACAAGTACCTGATTTTTTGGTAAATATTAACTTCAGAATACAAGTATGTTCAGAATACAAGAATCGTTTTTAAAATATAGAATAAAACAGAAGAGAAAAAAAACCCTTTCATCATTGGATGAAAGTCTCTTGATAGTAAAGTTTCACATTTAAGTAAATTTATGCAAATCAAATTCTACCTAAAAAAAAGTTGCCTCATTGGTGGCACAGGAGTTAAAATCTCAGCTCCATCAAGCTATCCACAGCCACTGCATGAGTTCAATCCCAGCAAGGCAGCTGACGCACATGGAGCAACAGACCTCTCCCGTGTTGCCCGCTGCTCCCTTCAACAGTGTATTTCAGTAAACCCACCTGTTCTGATCCCTACTCTTGTCTCTGGTGAATCCTCCTGGTATCTCTGGCCTATATCCCATATTTGTATGCATAGATAAAATAAAAATAAATCCTTAAAAAAGTAAATACTGGGCCCCCCCGGTGGCGCAGGGAGTTAAAGTGCTGCACTGAGAAGCTTAAACCACCTCCGTATGAGTTCGATCCCCGCCTGCCCCGGAGGAGATCCACATGGCTTGGCAGACTTCTCCTGACCCGCCCGCTGCTCCCCTCAGCAGTGTACTTTCATCGATCTGCCTGTTCTGCTCCCCACTCTATCCCTGGTGAATCCTTTCACCCTCCGCATCTCTGGCCTGTACCCCAGTTCTGTATGAATAAATAAATCTTTAAAAAAAAAAGTAAATACTGAGATATTACAAAGAACTTCAGATGACTTCTAGCAAAAGGAAGATGTGTTTTTTAAGGTAGTCATAATAATTTTTTGATAAAATTTTACTTTAACACATTGTGCTTTCATATCACTAGAGTTTATGAAACTTTCAGTCCACCAGTTAGAGGTGGACTATGAGATTAAGGTCAAGTATTCCTGTGGGGAGTTGTTTAACTCTGGGCCTAAGACCCAAGCCAGAGTGAGTTTTATGGTAGGTGCAGTTATTATCAAACACCAAGATATTAAGACTCAGAGCCAGTAAGATATAGCAGGACCCCTCCTGAGGCTCCCCCACACCCCCTTTCCCTACTCCTCAACAGTGTCAGATAACAAGATTTAGCTCATCAGGTTTCCAGGAAAAAAAGGTTAAATAGCTACATCATATATCACACTATTACGTTAAATGTCAAATGATGAGCTTGCTAACTCAGAGACTTAAAATTTTGATAATCACTAATAACTTTTTAAAGATTTAAAGCACAAAGTTATAAAGATTGAATAACTATTTTAACTATTTTGAAGTTACTTGTATTTATCTCACTACTTAGTGAGTCTAAAAATATGAAAAGTATTTTCAACTTTTTTTTCCGTATCATAAACTAAAAGAAGAGGAATAGCTTCCTTTTCAAAATGGAAGGTTAGTTAACAACAAAATGTTACGTGGATTTTTCTTTTTATTAAAGTTAGGACTTCTGGCCCTCCCTGGTGGCTCAATAAGGCTAAAGCGCAGCACTGTAAGCTAGCCACAGCCTCTTCAGGGTGAGTTCCAGCCCTGCCCCCTGAGGTGATCCTCATGGCTCAGCAAACCTCTCCTGTCTTTCCAGGGGCTCCACTCAGCAGTGTATTTCATCACTCTGCCTGTTCTGCTCCCCACTGTCTGGTGAAT